TGGAGACAGACAAACAACTGGTATAATAATTCCTTGTGTTTGCTGAATACCACAAGGTTCCGTTATTGGTCCTAAACTTCTCATTATTTTCATAAATTATATTTGTAAAACTTCAAAGTTGTTTAATTATATTATGTTTGCAGATGACACAACTATAGTCTGCTCGGGGAAAGAACTGAACAAACTTTTGATGAGCATAGAAAAGGAACTAAGTCTGCTTAAAATCTGGTTTGATGTAAATAAGTTGTCACTCAATGTTTCAAAAACCAAATTTATGTTATTTGAAAATAAAAAGGAAATATATAAAGATATAAAACTTAGAATTGAAAATATGGTGGTTATTGACTCCAGATTAACGTGGAAACAATATATTGACCATGTGAAAACAAAAATATCAAAAACTATTAGAATTTTGTCTTTAGTGACTTACTCACCTCTGATGCACTACATATACTGTAATCTACTGTACCTTGATTCTTCCTTATATGTGTGGAGCTACTTTTAATACTGTAATCAACTATTGTATTTTTACAAAAACGTGCCATTGGCCTGATTAATAAAGCAGGATATTATGATCATACAAATCCATTATTTCTAAAAACAAATATGAAATTTAAAGACATTGTTAACTATATAATACTTCAAGTCATGTTCAAGGCTAAATCAAATGTGCTTCCAGAAGGTGTTCAAAAGTATTTTCACCTTCAAAAAACTAGATATAGTTTAAGAGATGACAGTACATTTATTTTACCAAAAGTTAGAAAATCACTGACTCAGAGATGTCTGTCGTTTCATGGGCCTCAGTTGTGGAACAATCTCAGCAGAGAGATGAAAACATGTAATTATTTTTTTGTATTTAAGAAAAAACTGTCACAGTCGATCCTGGACGGATACCGAACTGAAGGATTTTGTTGAACTTGTGATTAAAAAATTTTAATTTATTGAAACATGTTTTGGTAACTTGTATTGTATTATGAACATGCAATGGGCACACAAGTTTTTTTACTTCTGCCCTAATAATAAAATTAACTGAAAAAACTGAATAAATATGTTTTTTTAATTTTTTTATTGAAATAATCACAATGCTGGTTAGGGGGCTCTTTTTTGTTTGAAGTTTTTAGTTATAAAGTAAATGAACGTCCCACTCAACAAGAGAAAATGCAAACTACACAAATACGCTACACAACCCAACGCCTGCTTCATAAAGCCGTCTTCATCTTTATCTGAAGTTGTTTTTTTACGGGATGTTTTGACGTGCATTGTCCAATATACTCCAGCCCACACAAGCCTTAATATAATCCATATGCTGTGAATAAAGCTGACACGCGTCGGCAGACACTTGTGGCATTCTGCTGGGGAAATCCACAGTAATTCCTCACCAAGAATCATCTGATGAGGAAAGCAAAAGCAGACTTCCTTTGATCCGGAATGTAAAGAACAGGGTGAACTTAAGCTGACAGACAACTGCTCTGTCTCATGGAGATACTCTGACAGGTACCGGTTATGAGATGCCTTTAAACCAGGGGTGTCATTCATACGGCCCGCGGGCCGGAACCGGCCCGCCAAGAGATTTGACACGGCCCGCGGCTCATTTATGTAAAAATATAATAATAATACATTTTAAAAAGCCGCTCCGCGACGAGAGGCTCCGCGACGCCGCAGCGCCGCTCAGGGGTGAGTCCAGTGCGTCTGTAGTGGCTCCACCTTGAGCGGTGCTGGAGGAATAACATCTTAAACTACAAGACTCGGCGAAAAATACGGCACTTTGAGCGGAGAATTGAGAAAACAGAAGATAAACCTGTCTGGCCCTGAAGACACAGCAGTCTGTTTGTGCCCAGAGCGAGAGGTTAGTTCTGCTGCTGTAAAGGGAAGCTACCTGTGCTAACAACATTAGCATTAGCATCGCAGCCGCACAGTGAGAGAGTTTGTTAAAACTCTCACAGGCTGCAGACATGGTCTGAGAAACCACTCGCTTTTACCAACATGTTGCCATTGATAAGAGACTGATGTTACTGATGTCACATATTCATTTGTGGTGTTACTGAAACTATCAGAGGAGTTTTGAGCGCTGCTGCTGCTGGTTCTGCTGTTGTTGCTGGTGTGTTGGACAGTGTGGACTGGTACCGATGGTAAAAACAGGTGTAGTGACAAAGCTGCAAATGGAGGTGATGATTTTTGGACATTTGACTGTATTTTACACAGAGACACTGCTGCAGTCGTTAAGAATGGATCACGTTATGGAAGTTGTTTTATTCATTTCAAGTGAATCATGGTCAGTTTGATGCTTTCTCTGTGATAATAACATAACCATGGACCTTACCACACTGAAGATGGTTAATGTGATAATAACATAACCATGGACCTTACACACTGAAGATGGTTAATGTGATAATAACATAACCATGGACCTTACCACACTGAAGATGGTTAAGCTGAGGTGCTGTGTTAAAGTGCTTTTTTCTGTCTACCTACTTTACATTTGTGAGCAAGTTTTCTCTGTATTGAGCCTTAAAACAAAGCTAACATACAAATATTAATATACATATTGTGAAATACCATTTTCTATGTAATATTGTAAATACATTACATTATTTGCACTATGGAAAACTCACTGTTACATTTAAGTTTGTAACAAAAAACTGAGTATTAAAGGATAGGGTTTTAAAGGAAGTTTTAAATAAATGTGTTTATGTGCACAAAAAGTTGGACTTTGTACCGTTTTTGGATATTTTTGTAGAGCATCTCCTGGTCCGGCCCACTTGAGATCAGATTAGGTTGTATGTGGCCCCCGGACCAAAATGAGTTTGACACCCCTGCTTTAAACCCAGTAAACCCCGAGCTAAGTTATGTCTGTTTGCAGTGACAGTTTAGCAAAGTGAATCATTTCAGTGATCTTTCTCAAAACTTTGCAGTGTATAATTTATTTATTTTTTATGAATGAAGTATCACATTACATCATTATTACAGTATTTTCATAACATTTTTTTTTTTGTAATCTTTTTTATGCCTGTTTTTTTGTTTGATGTGCAACTTTGGTTCTCCAGCTACTCCTGGGTTTGTATTACTTCTTTGTGTCCCTCACTATATATTCGAGGTTTCCCCCCGTTTCAGGGAGGAGGTCAGTCACCTTGTGTTTTTATGTCTGAAAATATCTCTATTGATCAGAATTGTGTCAATATTTACACTCGTAATTTCCTATCAGCTCATTTTTTAACATTTATTGTCCATTTATGTTGAATTAATTGTGTTGCGTCCAGATGTTGACCTGCCGCTGTCTTTTCTTTTACTGTAAGTTTGGGCTAGGACAGTGGTTGAGTGGATAGCCCTCTTGCTTGCAAGGAGGTCTTGGGTTCGTATCCCTGTGCCTGCATAGATTTCTTCCCGGTGCTCCGGTTTCCCCTATCACTAAAAACATGCACAATAGGTCTGGCGTGTGTCTTCTATATGGCGACCTCGCTCCCATCTCTGTGGAGTGAGAGACAAATGCCCACAAGAGCGCTTTGTGACTCTGGTCTGTGAAAGGCGCTTTATAAATAAAGATTAACTTACTTTCTTACTTTACAGAAGCACATGCCAAAAGTGTTTTACTATTGTGACCAGACCAAAGATTACCTCAAAGTCTGTCTCCTCAGTGTTTCTCCGCATCACACCTAAATAATACTGCACAGAGCGGAAAAGTTCAACCCTGCTACAACAGGAATAGCCCAAACTTACTAATTGTGTACATTATGTTTGTCTGTCATGAATAGCTGGAGTTCAGAGTTAAGAAAAATAAACGATAAATAATTTAAACATATTTGAATTTAAGGGCACAAAACGAGATAATTCAAGCCAATATAAATGCTGGCTATATCTTGGATTAATTGAACATTCAACAGTGGCTTAGTTGGTAGAGCATTGGCCTTTGAGACTTTCTCCATCTACTCCCACTCCCGTTCTGCTCTTGGGCAAGACACTTAATCCCATCTTGCCTGAAGCCTCGCTGAAAAATCCAGGCTGTGATGTCACCGACAGAGCAGCCATCCTCCTGTGGGCTCACCACCTGCAGGAGGATCAGTGAGGGGCTGGTGCTCTGTGGACTGAGTGGCAGCTCTGACTGGCTCCCCAGAAATGGATTAAAGGTTAGGAAATGGATGAATGGATCGAACACTCTGACAGTCCCAAAATAAGAGTTGTTAATGGAACAAACATCCAAACAACTTAAAATGAGAAAAAACATGTGAGATGAGATGATAAAATGAGAATGAAGCTGCTTGTTCTGTTGAATCATTTTCTTTTTAGGGAATTCAAAATACACTCAAATCAAAATAAATGTTCCCTAATTCAAGAAGTTTGACTTTTTGGTTGTGTGCTAAATCTGAGACACTCATTTGAGAATGTAATCAATCCATAATTGTGAGTTTCAACCTATGGCTAAAGATATAAATGTATGTGTTTAGTAAGAATGAAGTTGGGTAACTATCACTTGACTAGGAACAAAAATTGACTAATCATCTTGCATGCACATGGTTACATCTTTTTTTAACGTTGTATTATTATAACAAAAGCAGGCAACGAGTGTGTAAGACTAAACTATTTTTATTGGAAGTTTACAAAAATCACAGGCACAAAATGCACCATTTCTCTGGCCTTGAAAGTATGAAAAACAAAATAAACTAAATATATATAAGTGACTTGTCAAACCTGCAGTGAACAAAACAATCAAGCTAAAATACTTCTAGTAAAGTAGTAGTACAAAAAAAACAAAGAATTACAAGTCCATAGTGCAATAAGTCCTCCACTCTTCTGTACACCTCCAGATCCGGTCAACACTTATGGCACACGTGTCATTGAGTCAGAGGCACCAAAAAGGATCACATTGTGAAGGTTTGCGCAGAAATGGCCCAAAGTTGCCATTTCTCTTCTCTGACCACATTTATACCTGAGTGAATAAGTTACAGTTGCGACAAATGTGACCCTGAATGTCATAAAAAGTCTTTATATAGTCACAAGTTCCTGTATCAGCACCAGGAGAAAGACCGGCCCACCATTTCAAAGAATAGCTTGTTTGGTTTTCGGAAGTAGTGGCAAAGCTGCTTGAAGGCTTGGACGCTGAGAGGGGCATGGGGCCTGCCTTTTGACTCATCTAGGCACTTGTCATGCCCTGCAGTCAGCATGCAGTAGAAACCCTTGGTGGTGTTGTAGTAGAAGTTGCTGGGGTTAATCTTTGGAGGCAGTAGGAGAAAGCGTTCAGCCTTTTTGAGCTCTGGAAATGGGTCTCGAATGAGTGCGTCGCCGTCCACCACGTGAATCTGATCCCTGGGGAAGACCTCTAACCAGCGGGACAGGTGCTGGTGGTATAGACTCCTCTGCAGGGCTTTATATTTGGGATTAATGTGTCCCTTTTGCAGCAGCAGCTCCTCGAGAGGCTGGTAGGGCTTGTGGCGGGTTAGGCGGTTGTGGAGGACCTGGGTGTAGTCGGATACCACCCTCTCCGCGGGGTCTCGGACGATCAGCAGCAGGCGCACGGCCGGGTTCATGTCCCACACGCGAGCAGGAGCCAGGGGAGCAGAGAAGTATCCGGGGGTCTTCTCCACCGTGAGCTGGCTGGGGAGGGTGAAGGGCATCTGGGAGCGGTACCACGACAGTCCACGGTGGAAGTGCTCCTCCACGTTGAAGTAATGTACCTAGAAGAATCACAAGACACGAGTTACAGAGACACTATAAAATCCACTTTTGATAATGATTCATACAGTATTGGTCAGTTTGCTTCACTCTCACACCAAAACAATTTCTAGTGACTTGTATGGCTGTTTCCCACAAGTAAACAATGGTTCACATGTTTAATTTGATCAAGACAGTGTAGCGGTTATTCATGTTATTATCTTAACTTTTCAAACAACTCAGGTTATATACAATGACTACAATAATAAACTACAGTATTGAAAAGTACTGATTGTTTTTAGCTACTTTTTGAAGGTGTTGAGAGAGTTTTCTGAGGTGGCAAGGAGATGATTACTGCTTGCCATTTGTATTATATTTTTATTTACAATTGTTGATTTCATGCTTCTGTCTTTTGCCTATGTTGTCTGGTACTGGTGATGACTTGAGATTCCCTTTATAGAATAGATTAACTATATATCTTTTATTACACCAACTTGATGGGGTGTACAGTTTTTGGGAATTATCAACACATCTCAACTACAAATACAATAATGCATACGGTCTAAGAGTTTTACCTCTGCCTTTGCCACCTCCACATCTGGGTGCAGGTTGAGCATCTCCAGCAGGGCCCTGGTTCCCCCTTTCCTCACCCCGATGATGATGGCCCCAGGCAGACGCTGTAGGGTGCCATTTTGGGGAGCAGGAGAGGAGGCTGAGGAGGAGGAGTGAGGGCTGGGACTCCCGGAGCGCAACTCCCTAAGGCACATTGACAGCTGAGTCTGCAGCAGCACGAGCACCAGCAGCGCGAGGAGCAGTGTCCACAGCATGGTGCCTCTCACACTCTGAATGAGCCCCTCTCAACGCCACTCATCAAGCTGTCAGATTGTTGTTCACGCGGCGGGGTGGGCTCAGAGGAGTGCCTCACTGGACCACCTGTGAGAGAAACACATTATTACCTCTCTGCTATGTGGGAGCGGAGAACTTTATGGTCTTTTTGATCTTTGGATTTAATCAACCAATCCTTGTGGCACATATATAGACAGTAGAAGGTTGTGGACTCCCCGAGAGCTGGCATCAACCATAGTGTTTGCCTTTTTTCAGAAGAAGCCAATTCGAGCCAAATCAAGCAAGCTCGCTGTGCAGGGATCTTGAGTGAATTTTGTGGGTAGCAACAACCTAGCAACCAAAGAGTCAATCAGAAGGGACACTGGTCTGTTCCCGCTTGAGCTACTCACTAAAAACTGGATTTGGGGTAAGAAGGCACCTGATTGGTCAGTTGTTAGGACAAAAACATTCATGACAAGAAAGCACCACAGGCGTTTAATCTAAAAAAGGTGAGTGTGACGCAAACAGTTACAGAGTAAGAAGAGTTCACTTTTCCCTATAAGTGAATGGAGTCAAAGTGAGTTGGAGCAAAACTTCACGTGTCCTCCCACAGACAGTAACCTGTTTGCATATACACTGGGCCTCATTTATGAAACTTGCGTATGGCCAAACCAGGGTGTAAATGAGGCGTACGCAAATAATTTACACTTTTCGGCATTTATCAATCCGATTCAGTAGGTGATGTAAATTTTACACCCATTTCAACCTTCATCACAACACGCATGAAATTAATGATTTGGACAACAATTTACATATTCCCAGTCTGGAAAAATTATAAGCTGCTTTTTCATTGGGCATCAAATTTCAATTGTTTATTTGCGCATCAGAAAAACTAATGGAAACACGTAAACTTCGATTAAATCACAGTTCATGATGAGGACCCTCTTCTGCTTCTTTGATTTTAAATCTGACTTGTATGTGTATTATTTTCATCTGTATGTTTTATTTTTATGTGAAGCGCTTTGTGATCCTGCTCTGTGAAGGTGCTGTACAAATACACCTGGCTTACTTACTTACTTAATGTGTGACTATTTCTCCGTAAATCTGTGGCAGACCCTGCGCTGCGTAATTACGCACGGCTATTTGTTTTGTCTCATTCACCTCTGGCAAAGCAACGTATTTTTTCATTAGTTTTGTGCATAAAGCCCCATAAACGCAGCAATGGCAGAGACGTGGCAAAGCGCTTATTTGTGGAAACGGGCTCACGGGCAGTGGCTCTCTCCACTTCCATGCAGACCTGTCGTAAAGACGGGGCGTGAAACGGGCGGTTTCTGAATATTTCTAGGCGTGACTTTCATGAATACGCTAGTTTTGAGCGCGGCATTTATCAACAGCTGCATACGCTCAGTGCGGATCTCACATGTTCATAAATCTGGCGTTGAGTCTTGCGTATATGGAATATACACCAAAAATATACACCCTTTTCTGCGCAAGTTTCATAAATGAGGGCCACTATGAGCAATTTTCTGATCTGATATACTCAAGCCCGTTCTTTTTTGCACAAGCTGCAAAAATTATCAACTTTCAGTTGATATCCATTCTTGTGTAGGTTGTAGTTTTGACGTCATCTCAATTATCTGCATGACTTTTATTTCTGGATATATTGTGCAGCTATAGCAGGTCCCAGTTTGGGCCAATATCCATCAACTCTACAGTGTCATTTAAGAGGAATGGACTGACTTTCCATAGGCCAAAATCAACAGACAACACTTAGGACTAAAAAAATTTCTGACTCACCAGAACACCCCAAAGTCCAAAATGTAACTTCTTGGGGTGGCTAGAAAATTACCCGAAAAACGCTAGTATTCATTATTTTGTGGCTGAGAGATAATTTTGCATTTCAATGTGTTTAGCTTAAAAAGGGCTATGGTGTTTGGGACAGTCTTCATGTTAGTGCAGTAAGAAGTGATTGTTTCAGTCGTGAGAGAGGATGTGGAAAAGAACAGTCCTTTATGTGCTCTTCATACAGCAGATACTTTGTGCTCTGCTGTTTTATTATTCCATCTGTGAGACTTTGTGTGCAAATGTGCCATCTACGAAGTGCCAGTCAAACCACTGCTATTCAAAATATAGGTCTACTGTCAGATTATTGCAAGAAGATATTGAAATATTAATATTCCACGACAGCAGAGTTGCACGCTTGTAAAATTAATGCTGTTATAAGGATTAGGACGTCCCTAAAGACTCCCGACCCCCATCCGAGAAGTCACCACCATCTTTCAAAGACATCAAATGGAAAATGAAGACGCTTTCATGTTAAAAAAAAAAGGAAGTATATATATATATAGATATATCTATATCTATATATAGATATATCTATATATATATATGTATATATCATACTGTATATGTTATATGATATATATATCATATATACTGTACATATATATATTTTTTTTATATTTTTTTACTGCATTGACATAAAGTCAGAAACGATGAGTCGTCTGTAGGATTGTTTTCTGCTGATGTCTGATATTCTAAACATTATTACAATTGTTTTTAGGCTACAATATTACCAACACTAATCGGTCTCTGTGCCTGTGCTCGTTTTTTCCCCTGTTGTCATGTATTTGATTAAACATTTTATGTTTATTAGGAGTATTCACATTGTGAACTGTTGTTTTTATATTTGCCCCTTCTTAGTGTTAATCAAAACTATTATAGATATATTTTCTTATTTAGATAACCCCACAAGTCAAGGCCAAACACAGTATGGTATGCTGATACTCTAGATGCCAAGTTGCTAAAGGTACTTCAGTTATTATTCTTTTTAGTCAGCTAGACTTTGTAACAGTTTTTCTTCCTTATGGATAGGCCCAGGAATGACTAAACATATTAGACTAGAAAACTGACTTTGGACAGTTACCATAGTTACCAAGAAAAAAAACTTTCAGCTGCCCCCACCAATATGTTAAGCTTTTTGGAATATCCTGATGCCACAGGAACGCAACTTATTGCCGCTGTTACTCTTGTATCCCTTATGTGACACAGAACTTTTTCGTTCCACGTTTTTCGTTATTTTAAACATAGATTAGAGTTCCATTTGTCTGTGTGACTTCAACCACATTACATTACTTATTTTGATGGTATCCCGAGAAAAACAATTTGACGCAGTTTGGAGTGTTTTTGGATATAATTCTGTGGCTTTATTGCGGCTGAATGGCAGGGATCGGAGGAAAAGCTTGTGATAAAACCCCTTCTGAATCTGTCTCTGAGGATGAACATTAGATTTTGATTTTTGATGCAGGAAGTGTGGACCACATATGCATAGAGATGTTTTATGTTACTAACATGATTCCCTTGGGTCTTTGAGCTTGTAGTGTTCCGGGTCTGTCCGGTCCCCTCACTTCCTGTCTCCCCCATCCTCACCTTTGCATGTCCTGTTTAATCCTGAACGGCTCCTACAGCTCTGTGCTCTTTGTGCTTGTGCGAGTCCCCGGCTTTAACAAACTTCAGCTCCATACTAATGGGGACGCCCTGCAGCACCCCCCCCAGCGGCTCATAAATAAAACACCAGCTCTGTGCACCAACTATGTCTGCTAGATTCACTTTTAAAACATTTTTGATTTCTCTAACTGTGAGTCAGGCCTCACAGTTCACGCAACAGCTGGTTACAATATATCTTAAAATAATACAAAAAAAACAAACAACATTCTGTACTTCCATGAAATTGTCTAAAACACTATACATACCACAGCTGATATGAATGCATTTTACATGTCTGCTTTTTTTAACTCTTTGTTTTGAACTGTTTTTTGACCCATCACCCATCCACAGGCAAATGGATCGACACGATCCATTTGCCTGTTTGACTTTTTACGTGTAGTCTGTGCATAGCTATTCACCCAGTGTCTCTGGTCTGTTTCATGAACACAATGATGGGACCTCAAACGCTGGACTTCTTGCCTGGACTTGAGGATCTGTTCCAAGATTTTGAGCAATACTAAAGTAAATTGAATAGATTTTTTCCTGCTATCATTGGTCCCCATCGATGAGGGTGAGAGGTACTGCTACACTATCCCCTCTATACTGTGTGGGGACCTCTGTCTGTGGATCCTACTAATACAACATGCAGGAGAAGCTGCCTGTCTGAGGCTTGTCAGGGCCTCCCTCTCTCCACCTTTGTCCTTTGTTTTCTTTTTTTTATAGTCTCTGTGTATCTTGTAACCATATGTGTAATGTCATGAAATGCCCTCTTTCTAATATATTAGACCACAACTATATTCTAGTTTCTAACAGTTGACAAGACTGGCAGACTATACCACCCTCCTGCTCATATTTTTGAGGTACCAAAAACCTCAATTTGTCTCTTCTTTCCTCCATGGGTGTTAGGCAAAGTTATTAAATGTTGGCAAATTGATGAGGCTTCCATTTGAACCATCATTGTCCCTGCTGATCGCTTCCTTGTTGGTTCCCATTATGTGTGCGCACAAAGTGAGTGAAGAACTCTAGAACAAAGCCAGAGCCGTCAACGATGCATGAAGTTGCCATATTGACAAACAGCAGAGAAAACAGAGGAATAGGAGAAGACAGGAATCAGAGCAGCAGAGTGTTATTATCTGTGAAAGGCAGATGCCGTCTTGTCCTGGGAATCACAAGGTATAGGATTCATGATTTGATACATGGCTCACATAAAATACTGATGCAAAAACTACTCTTATGTGTACACGGCATGTTGAACCAGAATCATCATAACGCATTCATGGTATTTGCATCTTTCTCTAATACAATAATAGCTACTATTGACGTAGTGCCTCAAAGCAGTAAACAGTGCTTCATTTATTTGTTCAGTAGTGCTAAGATGCTACAATAGCCACAGCTGCCTAGATATAGACTAAGAGAAGCAATGCTGTAAAACTGTGTCATTGGCCCCTACAATTACTATCAGCCAACAACAGTTTGATCTTTACTTCCTCAGCCATTCCAATTTGGCCTTTTCACTGGTCTCCCATCACAGCACTAACCAGGACCTATACTGCTTAGTGGAGGAAATACTGTATGATAGAAGTAGGTATGGCCACTTAACTCCCAAGAGTCCTTTACTATGCCCAATAACAATACATAATAATAATAATAATAATAATAATAATAATAACAATTAAAGCCGCAAGCGGCGTCGAACGGCCCTCGCCGCACCGCGCGACTCCCTGCACCGCGCGCACTCCCCGCACCACGCCGCCCTGCACCACGCCGTCCCGCACCACGCCGTCCCGCACCACGCCGTCCCGCACCACGCCGTCCCGCACCACGCCGTCCCGTACCAAGCCGCAACGCGCCGCTCCACAACGCCCCGCACTACGCCGCACCACACCGTACCACGCAGCACCGCTCAAAGGAGGTGGCGCCGCCGTGTGATGATTTGTTCCCGTAGTCATAGAAGATTGTTAGTCAAATTTGAATGAATATGATAAGTAGAGCTGGTTTGGCTCCCGATGTAAACTTTGGCTCAGTCTTTAGGGGGCGCTAATGGGCCAATTTCAAATATTTCACTTTCACCTGACCTAAATCCTGGAGTTGAACAATGGATTCAAGTTTAATGCAAATCAGACTTTGTTTGTGCAAACGGGAAAAAATTAATGTTGTCAAAAACGGCCAAAAAAACCCTCACATTTTGCCGCTTCGCTGCTCAAACAACGTTTCACTGATCAAAATTCCCTGAAGTCATTTTGAAGGTAAATGTGTTGAGATGATTTGGAACAATTTTGAGGCCAATCGGTGAAACGGCCGAGGAGGAGTCGCTTTCCAACCGACATGTATGAAAATGATTATTTTTCATTTTTCCATTTTGCAGTGAAATTTATGGGCTTTCTGTTTGTCAGAGGGCTTAGCCATAATAAAACAAGTTCAATGTCTTGACTTGAGGAACATGTGTTCCAAATTACATGGTTCTATGACAATTTTGACCTCGAACCCCTCCCATAGGCATTTTTAAATCGGCTGTTGTAGGTGGCGCTATAGAGCCAATTTCAAAATTTTAACTTTCAAATGACCTAGACCCAAGAGTTGAACCATGGATTTAAGTTTTGTGCAAATCAGACTTTGTTTGTCCAAACGGAAGCCATTTTTCTATTGTCAAAAACTGAAAAAAAATACGCCACTATTTGCCGCTCCGCTGCTCAAACAACGTTTCACTGATCATAAATCCCTGAGGTCATTTTGACGGTACATGTGTTGAGATGATGTGGAGCGATTTTGAGGCGAATAGGTGAAACGGCCGAGGCTAGTTTGATGTTTGTGTGAGGTGTACATTTGCAATGAATCTGGAGCGTTTGTCGTCGCCACGGCAACAGGGTAAAAAATAAGCCTTGGACCCTATTGACTTTTTGAATCAAGAGTGCAAAACAGATTTATGTGCAAAATTTCAAACATTTTGAAAAAACTAAATTTGAAAATGCCCATCTAAAACTTTGAAATAGTCTGTAGGGGGCGCTAATGTGTCAATGTGAATCATTTAACTTTCAAATGACCTAGACCCTAAAGTTGAACAATGTATTAAAGTTTTGTGCAAATCAGACTTTGTTTGTGCAAACGGGAGCAAATTTAATGTTGTCAAAAACGGCCAAAAAAAGGTCACATTTTGCCGCTCCGCTGCTCAAACAATGTTTCACTGATCAAAAATCCCTGAGGTCATTTTGAAGGTACATGTGTTGAGATGATGTGGAGCGATTTTGAGGCGAATCGGTGAAACGGCCGAGGAGGAGTCGCTTTCCAACCGACATGTATAAAACTTTTGCTGTTCATTTTTCCATTTTGCAGTGAAATTTATGGGCTTCCTGTTTGTCAGAGGGCGGAGCCATAATAATATTTTTTTCATGTCTTGACTCAAGGAACATGTGTACCAAATCTCATGTTTCTACGACAAACTTGACCTCCAAAAAGTCCCATAGGGGTATTATTTTGGCTGTTGTAGGTGGCGCTGTTCTGGCATTTTTTGAGTCCCATAAAAATAAACACCAAAATATCAAATTTTTCGCCAGGTCTGATTTTTGGGCCAAAATTAACAACTTTTCATGCATGTTCAGGGGGTCAAATTAAGGCTCAAAGTGCAGAAGAAAAAAGAAAGAAAGAAATAAATTAAAGCCGCAAGCGGCGTCGAACGGCCCTCGCCACACCGCGCGACACCCCGCACCACGCGCCTTGCCGCTCCGCTACGACTCCCCGCTCCGCTACGACTCCCCACTCCGCTACGACTCCCCGCACCGCGCTCCGCTACGACTCCCCGCACTGCGCACCGCTACGACTCCCCGCACCGTTACGACTCCCCGCATTGCTACGACTCCCCGCACCGCTACGACTCCCCGCTCCGCTACGACTCCCTGCACCGCGCGCCGCTACGACTCCCCGCTCCGCTACGACTCCCTGCACCGCTACGACTCCCCGCTCCGCTACGACTCCCTGCACCGCGCGCCGCTACGACTCCCCGCACCGCTACGACTCCCCGCTCCGCTACGACTCCCTGCACCGCGCGCCGCTACGACTCCCCGCTCCGCTACGACTCCCCGCACCGCTACGACTCCCCGCTCCGCTACGACTCCCTGCACCGCGCGCTTCTACAACTCTCCGCTCCGCTACGACTCCCCGCACCGCTACGACTCTCCGCAGCGCTACGACTCCCCGCAGCACTACGACTCCCCGCATCGCTAGGATTCCCCGTACTGCGCAACTCGCCGCAACTCGCCGCAACCCGCAATTCCCCTCCCCGTGACTCCCCGCGTGACTCGCCGCTCAGCAGGTGGCGCCGCCGCGCCGCGCCATGATTTGCTACCATAGCCATAGACCAATGTATGTGATATTGATCCGTTGGTTTGGCTCCCCATGTAAAGGTTTAGCTCGGTATGTAGGGGGCGCTAAAGAGCCAATGTAATATTTTACACCTTCAGGTGACCCAGGCCCAGGAGTAGAACAACCGGGTCAAGTTTAGTACAAATCAAACTTTGTTTGTGCAAACTAGAGCTATTTTTCTATCGTCAAAAAAGGTCACTATTTGCCGCTCCACTGCTCGAACATCGTTTCCCTGATAAAAATTCCCTGAAGTCATTTTGAAGGTAAATGTGTTGAAATGATGTGGAGCAATTTTCAGGCGAATCTGTGAAACGGCCGAGGAGGAGTCGCTTCCCAAACGACATGTGTGAAAATTATTGCTGTTCGTTTATCCATTTTGCAGTGAAATTTATGGGCTCCCTGTCTGTCAGAGGGCGGGGCCATAATAACATTTTTTTCATGTCTTACCTTGAGGAATATGTGTACCAAATTTCATGGCTCTACGGCAAACTTGAACTCAAAAACTCTCATAGGAGTATTAAATTGGCTGTTGTAGGGGGCGCTGTTCTGGCATTTTAATTATTTCACTTTCAAATGACCTACACCCTAGAGTTTAACCATGAAAACAAGTTTTGTGCAAATCGGACTTTGTTTGAGTAAACTGAAGTAATTTTTCTATAGTCAAAAACTAAAAAAAAAACGCCACTTTTTGGCGCTTCGCTGCTCAAACAACGTTTCACTGATCAAAAATCGCTGAAATCAAAATGATGGTACATGTGTTTAGACGATGTGGAGCGATTTTAAGGCAAATCAGTGAAAAGGCCGAGGAGGAGTCGCTTTCCAACCAACATGTGTGAAAATGACATTCTGTAGGGGGCGCTAATGCCTCAATTTGATGTTTTACACTTTCAGTTTACCCAAACCCAAAAGTTGAACAACCAATTCAAATTTGGTGCAAATCGGACTTTGTATGTGCAAATGGTGGCTTTATTAGACTACAATTGCGCCCCCTACAACTTCAAATTTGAAGTCTCTTACTAGGGAACACAAAATTAATAAAGTGTTTGCAAGAACAGAACTTGTGGCAAAATTTTGTAAGTTTTCGTGCATGTTCAGTGGGTCAAATATGACATCAAACAACAGCAAACTTGTTCTTTCCCAGGTTTTCCTGGGCTAGAACAAGTATAATTAAAGCCGCAAGCGGCGTCGAACGGCCCTCGCCGCACCGCGCGACTCCCTGGACCGCGCGCACTCCCCGCACCACGCCGCCCCGCACCAAGCCGCCCCGCACCAAGCCGCCCTGCACCAAGCCGCCCTGCACCATGCCGTCCCGCACCACGCCGCCCCGCACCAAGCCGCAATGCGCCGCTCCACACCGTACCACGCAGCACCGCTAAAAGGAGGTGGCACCGCCGTGTGATGATTTGTTTCCGTAGCCATAGAAGAACTTAGTCAAATTGTAATGAATATGATAAGTAGAGCTGGTTTGGCTCCCCATGTAAACTTTGACACAGTCTGTAGGGGGCGCTAATGGGCCAATTTCCAATATTTCACTTTAACCTGACCTAAACCCTGGAATTGAACAATGGATTAAAGTTTTGTGCAAATCAGACTTTGTTTGTGCAAACAGGAGCAAAAAATTAATGTTGTCAAAAAGAGCAAAAAAAAACCTCACATTTTGCCGCTCCGCTGCTCAAACAACGTTTAACGGATCAAAATTCCCTGAAGTCAGTTTGAAGGTACATGTGTTGAGATGATGTGGAGCGATTTTGAGGCGAATCAGTGAAACGGCCGAGGCTGGTTTGATGTTTGTGTGAGGTGTACATTTGCAATGAATGGGGAGCGTTTCTCGTCGCCACGGCAACAGGGTAAAAAATAAGCCTTGGACCCTATTGACTTTTTGAATCAAGAGGGAAAAACGGATTCATGTGCAAAATTTCAAACGTTTTGAAAAAACTAAATTTGAAAATGCCCATCTAAAACTTTGAAATAGTCTGTAGGGGGCGCTAATGTGTCAATTTGAATTAATTCACCTTCAAACGACTTAGACCGTAGAGTTGAACAATGTATTAAAGTTTTGTGCAAATCAGACTTTGTTTGTGCAAACGGGAGCAAATTTAATGTTGTCAAAAACGGCCAAAATAAGGTCACATTTTTCCGCTCCACTGCTCGAACAATGTTTCACTGATCAAAAATCCCTGAGGTCATTTTGAAGGTACATGTGTTGAGATGATGTGGAGCGATTTTGAGGCGAATCGGTGAAACGGCCGAGGAGGAGTCGCTTTCCAAGCGACATGTATGAAAATGATAGGTTTTCATGTTTCCATTTTGCAATGAAATTTATGAGCTTCCTGTTTGTCAGAGGGCTTAGCCATAATAACATTTTTTCCATGTCTTGACTTGAGGAACATGTGTACCAAATTACATGGTTCTACGGCAATTTTGACCTTGAACCCCTCCCATAGGCATTTTTAAATTGGCTGTTGTAGGTGGCGCTATAGAGCCAATTTCAAAATTTGAACTTTCAATTGACCTAGACTAAAGAGTTGAACCATGGATTCAAGTTTTGTGCCAATCACACTTTGTTTGTGCAAACGGAAAAAAATATTCTATTGTCAAAATCTGAAAAAAAATACGCCACTTTTTGGCGCTCTGCTGCTCAAACAACGTTTCACTGATCAAAATTCCCTGAAGTCATTTTGATGGAACATATGTTGAGATGATGTGGAGCGATTTTGAGGCGAATCGGTGAAACGGCCGAGGCTGGTTTGATGTTTGTGTGAGGTGTACATTTGCAATGAAAGGGGAGCGTTTGTCGTCGCCACGGCAACAGGGTAAAAAATAAGCCTTGGACCCTATTGACTTTTTGAATCAAGAGGGCAAAACAGATTTATGTGCAAAATTTCAAACATTTTGAAAAAACTAAATTTGAAAATGCCCATCTAAAACTTTGAAATAGTCTGTAGGGGGCGCTAATGTGTCAATTTGAATACATTCACTTTCAAATGACCTAGACCCTAGAGTTGAACAATGTATTAAAGTTTTGTGCAAATCAGACTTTGTATGTGCAAACGGGAGCAAATTTAATGTTGTCAAAAACGGCCAAAAAAAGGTCACATTTTGCCGCTCCGCTGCTCGAACAATGTTTCACTGATCAAAAATCCCTGAGGTCATTTTGAAGGTACATGTGTTGAGATGATGTGGAGCGATTTTGAGGCGAATCGGTGAAACGGCCGAGGAGGAGTCGCTTTCCAACCGACATGTATGAAAACTTTTGCTGTTCATTTTTCCATTTTGCAGTGAAATTTATGGGCTTCCTGTTTGTCAGAGGGCGGGGCCATAATAATATTTTTTTCTTGTCTTGACTTGAAAAACATGTGTACCAAATCTCATGTTTCTACGACAATTTTGACCTCCGAAAAAGTTTAATGCATACATTTTCTTTGTTTTTAATAATTTTTTAAAGTTTTTTTTTTAGATTTTTGTTTTCTTTTTCCACTTTATTGATTGATCAAATTGAGTGATCACATGTGATTATGTGATCAAAGGGGAGGGTGTTAGTATTAGATAGCAATATGGCCTACGTGCAGGACTGTACAAGGACTCCATGTTATGACTATGATGTGACTGTCTCTTTGTGACACGTATGTCTTTCGATGTGTGACGTGACAATGACTATATAAACTGTGTACTGCCTTTATTCTGTCTGAGAGAAAGAAACAAAGTAAACCAGTGGAACTTGAGAGAAACTTAAATAAACTTCCAGAGTTTGGCGCACCACGATCCGTCTCTGTCTGCTTCATCCCTGACACCACGATATCGACCGACATTGACTGCGTTAAGTATATTGATACACTGGAGTAATCTGTGAGGCAAGATCCTTCGAGAATCTGGAGATTTGGAACCATATGAAACGCGACGAGACCAGTGGACTTCCCAGAAATGGCTTACTTTCACTTAACAGTTTTACAATAAAAAAAACGTCATGATATATATGATGCAATATTTCTTTCAATCAATATTTTATTTTGAACGAAGCAGTTGATATCCCATTAGGGCTGGGCGATATGGCTGAAAACTATATCACAATATAAGAAATTCATATCGGTCGATAATGATATATATTGATTGTTTTTTATTTCTTTTTTAAAACGTAAATAAATACATGTGTCGTGTCGGCTAACACATGTTAGCAGCCTTGTTTACAGTCACGGGGGAATGAGGCTGGAGCCAAATGTTCACAAGCAGTCTCCCCCACTCTAGTCTTGGTTTAATCCTGGTTTAGCTCCTGGCTGTTTTCGAGTGTCTTGTGTCCCCGTGGCGGCTCCGGAAAAACTTAATCTCTTGCTTTTGACGAATGCATTGAGTCTCTGTACCCACTGCCTCTCCTGTACTTGCCCATCTACAAGGATGGGCAAGTACAGGAAGAAATTGCCATTCTTCTTGCTGTTTCTATCCCATGTAGTGTTACATACAGAACTCTGCCCTTCAAGTGACTTGGTCACCAATGTAATATTCACAGTTAGGACAATACATGTGACATTCTAGGTGGCCTTGCATTGGTTTAGGCTCTTTTAGGAACAGATGCTTTGAAGTTAGAACATTTTCTGTACAGTGGATATTAATCAAATCTAAAAGATCAGACAGGGCCACACCAGTAAGTGAGTGTCTCAAATCAAATGAAAGTATAAGTATAAAACTCTGAGCTTTTGTCAGTTGTGAGCCTGTGTAAAGTGACTCATCATTTACTGGAGGAAGTCTTTCATTAACGTCTACTCCCAAATGTGATTCTTCATTTACTGACTTGTCCGTGCCGTCTTCCATGGAAAATTCCTCTCCACTGCCAATGGATTCAGAGTCAGTGAAAGACTGCCATAGTGGTT